TGGAGACCTCTCGTGTCACCACCACCTGGCTGACTGTACCTCTGTCTGGCTTCCTGGCTTTTAATCCCCTTTCTCCTGCTCTTCCGGCCTGCTACTCTGGCATCCCTGCATTGTCTCTCGTCACCTGTAAGCCTGGGGCTCAAGGCTTTTATCCCCTTCCCTGCTCTTCTGGCCTGCTACTCTGGAGTCCCTGCTTTGTCTCTCCTCACCTGTGAGCCTGGGGCTCAAGGCTTTTATCCCCTTGTGTGAAAGAGAGAGGAGCCAAAATAGCTTTTTGTTTGTTTGTTTTTGTGGGGAAAAGAAAACCCCAAAAGCATGACTAGTAGAAATATTAAATCAGTGCTAAAAAAGCAGTTAAAATTATTTTAAAAAGTGTTTACTTTTCAAAACAACTCTGTGGGGTAAATATTCTTGACCCATTTTACAAATGAAGAAATAGGCTAGAGATGAAACAGATTAATTACCCAGCTGAAAGTGGCAGTGCTGGTCTTAGAACCCAGATTGATCAAATGCTAAGACCCAAGGATCAGTTTAATCACTACCTGGTATCGCTGTTCATGACTTCATTGCACTTACTTGGTAGAGGTATGGGTTTTTGGTGAATTTGTCTGAAAGAAATGATTTCATATTAATTAAAGGATGAGGCACCATATGAATAAGTTTGACTTTTGTTTACACTGAAAATGGTCTGAACAGGCGTGTCACAAATGAGTGAAGACAAAAGGCCAATAAAACATATCCTAACCAAACCAAACCAAACCAAACCAAACCTCAAACTCACTGCCGTGGAGTCGGATCCGACTCATAGCGACCTTTCCTTGGGTTTCTGAGGTGGTATCAACTACAGAAGTAGATTGTGCAATCTTCCTCCGAGGAGTGACTGGTGGGTTTGAACTGCCAGCCTTCTAGTTAGCATTCAAATGCCTTAGGCACTATGCCACCAAAGCTCCCAAAACATATCATAGAGGTACTAAAACCTTAAAGATAAGTGACATTCTTCCCCTTAATTTTGAAAAAGGAGAATATAATAGAGAAAGCCTTGACTAAATCCAATAATTAAGGGAAGCCTGAATATTAGGTCTCTGCAACTCTAAGCAGAGTTGTTACTTTTAAAGTTGTTACTAACATAGCACCTTTTAAATTTAATTGCAAAGCAACGAAATGGCAGATCTTACAGTGTTTACAAGCCAGCTCAATGTATGGAAGAACAATGCGGATGTTAATTTCTGCAGCAAATATTTTGAAAACAAAGGATTCTTACTTCTGGGCTGCAGGCAACACTGGTGACTGCACAGCTTCCTGTCTGTGACTGGATCCTCGATGGCGTTCAGCAGGTATAGGTTTTTCTGCATCAGGAAAATCCTCGTATCAGGATTAGAGTGAAATGTCTGCCTCTGTTCCCAAACCCAGCACTATCAGCCGAGAAGCCAAGTGAGTCCTATGTCTTCTCAGGAATTAGTCTTTTACCAGATATCATTCCTTTGTTCACCTGTCAGTCTGCTGATGTTTGCGCTCTTAGGACTGAGACTTCCAGTTAGCATCTCCTACCACACTTGCATCATGTGTGCATAGGACTTACTCTGTTGGCACTGAACTTTTAAGTGTGTGAATAATGGTAGGAGCCAGAAGATGAACAAGTTTTAGCTACCCTCTGACCACCTCACCCTTGACTTCCTGTGTAGTCTCCATACACACACAAGTGTTAAAACACTCTGGTGTGCCTTGATAAGTTGTGAGATAGGGTATAAGTAATTTATTGCTAATAAGAAGTACAATAATAGTTCATGAATGACCTGCTTTTTGAAAAATTAATTAGAGCAAATTCAAAGTTATCCCTATAATAATGTGGTGTCACTTGCATTTCACTGTTTTCCTGGATGGGAAAGGAAGAGGTAGAGTTATAACCAGTGCAAAGGGAGATGAATATAACCCAAAATGCAAGAAGTTTATGTTGAAGCCCAGAGTGAACTGTTATTACTGAACCATTAATGTTCTCTTGGGGTGTGTTAAAATCTGAGTATGTTCACGGATGCGTCTCCTGCATGGAAGAAAGGTTGAGAACTATTAATCTCCCACTATAAACCCTTTAGGAGATCTGGTAGAGTAGTGCCTAAGGCACTTGACTGCTAACCAGAAGGCTGGTGGTTCAAACCCACCAGCCACTCCTTGGAAGGAAGGTTGGGCAATCTACTTACGTAGTGATACTGCCTCGGAAACCTAAGGAGGGGTTGCTATGAGTCGGGTCTGACTCCATGGCACGTAACAACAACAACATAAACCCTTTGCGACGAGTTGATTCTGACTCACAGAGACCCCGTGGGGCAGATGAGAATGCCACATAGGGTTTCCAAGGCTGTAATCTTTACAATAGAAGACTGCCACATCTTTCTCCTGCCAAGTGGCTGGTGGGTTCAAACTGCAGACTTTTTGGTTAGCAGCTGTGTGCTTAACCGCTCCTTATCTCTCACTATAGGACCCCAAAAGGAATGAAAGAGTAAGAACTCAGAGATTTAAATAAACAGTAAGATATACTCCAGAGTTTGTTGCGGTGTTAGAATTTAGGAGGATATATTTCTGCAAAACAGCAGAAAAGGAGCGACAACCTCAGATACAGCATGGGAAAAAAAGATGTAGGGAAACAGGGTAGAAAAACCTAACAGGAGCAATGGAAGCAGAGGGAAAGTTGGAGTGCACACTCAGAAATGATCCGCTGCCCACAGACAGGAATCAGAAACTGCTGTAGAGATGCCCGTATTAACTCAGGAAATGGTGAGAACAATACTCACTATAAGATTTTAAGATTGAGTACTTCAAGTGTGGGGTTAAGTGGGCAAAATAGTAAAATTTCTATGTAATGTTTCAAGTGTTCAGGTTCGTGGGGTTTTTCCCAATATTTTTTGAACACAAAGAGTTGTTAAAGTGGGAGCGCTTTAATTGAAGATACATGTATATTTTTTGATCAGAGATGAAACAGAAGAAGGAAAGCATTTGAAAAACAGTAGGAAGGGAGGGGAGGGGAGGAGAGTGGTTAGGGCTGGGGATGGTAATTGGGGAGTGAAACCAAATGTACACGAATGTTGAATGTAAAACTAATTCTGCTCTGTAAGTTTGCACCTAAAGCACAATATAAATGAATAAATAAATAAAATTTAATTTAAAAAAAAGAAAGGAAAAAACAGTAAGAAGAGAGACATTAGGACTTTGAAAACATTATTTTGAAAATTTAGCAAAAGAATGTATTCTCATTTGAGCAGATTTAAAAATTGTTCATAACCTTAACTGAGGTGTTAGTTCTAAGATATGGTAATAGCTCTAAATTTGTGTTCACATCTGTGTAGGGCCACTTGCACTGTTTCTTGGCAAGGCATACCTGTCTGCATGCACACAGGCAGGTTTGCAGTCTGTAGACTGTAGGCTGTCCCACAGACCCTCCTGTGAGCTCAGGCTCAAGGTGGCTTTCCTCCCCACCAACTGTAGCAGAGTGAAGGGCATTTTGTTTAAAAAAATGGAGTTTCATATTTAGAAGTGCCATATATATATATATAGTGAAAGAAATTTGAAATATGTTTATATCTAAATCCTGTTAAAGACATGCTCATCCTTCTAGATAACAGATTTACCTTCAAAAACACTTGATGCATTCTGTTGAGAGGCAGCTGGAGTCTATAAGTATTTTAAAAAACAAAACAAAAAAACACACACAATGATATACAACACACCTGAATGTGGAAATATAAGTCAAAGCAATATTATTAAAATAAATATTTTGAGAGAAGTTTTCTTTGATGTATAACTGTTCTTTCCATCCCAACAACAGTTAAAAACACACAACTCCAGCTCAATTGGTTTAGTGACAGCTGGCTGGCAGTGTTTCTTGGAAAGGGAAGTGTTGTCTTGGTTTGGGGACCTCTCTGCTCTGTCTGTGGTGTTTCGTTTTGCTTTCTTTTTTTCCCTCTTAGCTTTTGGGCAATCTACTTCTGTAGTGATACCGCCTTGGAAACCCCAAGGAGGGGTCGCTATGGGTTGGATCCAACTCAACGGCAGTGAGTTTGGTCTTTTGGTTTTTCTTACCTTTTTATTTTGATTTGAGTGAAACTTTACAGAGCAAATTGGTTTTCTACTCAACTGTTCATACACATTTTGCTTTGTGGCATTAATTGAAATCCCCACAATGGAACAGCACTCTTCCCACTTCCTGCCTGTGGTTACCTTTTCCCTTCATCCTTCTTTCCCATCCATTCCTGTCTTCTGAGCTTTATCTCTGGGCAAATGCTTCCCTTTTGATCTCACATAGTTGACTCTTCTAAGGTCTGTCAATGGTGTCAATGGATATCATGACCACCCAGGCAGTAGAGCTTATGCAGTAGGATTCTGGCATCTGGCTTTGGTAAGTGATTCTTTGTTCTTGGCAAGTGATAATAAATGTCAGGTCAAGGTGGGCTTCCTCTCATAGTGGGGTAGCCAGGTTCACTGTGCTCTCCTCGTAGTCAGGCCTATATGTATCTGATACTTGGCTGTCAGCCATTAGTTCTCAGGTCAGTGGGGTGGACACATGGCTTTGACTGAAGATTCCCATAGGAAAGGCAGATGTGGTGGGAGGCAGGGACCCTGACCACTGTGTCTGATGTGCTGTGTACTCAGTGAAGCTACTGGAACTAAGCAAGGATGCACTTCTAAGCATCCTTGGCTAACTAAGCATTTGAAATTTCTCGTGAACCATCTGGGCAACAACTTCAGTTGCTAAGATCGCCGTGTTCACCTCAGAGGGAAGCATTTTCAACTTTAAACATGAGAATAAACACTGCAGTAAATATGAAGCACTTTTAAATGCAAAATCAGCTTACTGTCTTCAGTGGTGCAGCTGGCTTCTTCCTGTGGAAAAGAGATTAGCTTTGTTAAACCACAATGAAAACAAGTGGTGACAACCATGTATCATTTCTCTCAAATTTAAACTAGAATTATGAAAGTAATGCAAATGTCTAGGAAGACTATCATTGAACGGCAGAGAGGGACGGAAGCAGGGTTTAGTTATGATGCTCCTAACCTCATATAGTGTATTTTGACAGATGGGAAAGGAGTTAATTGGGATAAATGGAGATAACAGTTGCCAGGGAGTCTGAAGAACTACGCTCTCGTTCTAGTTCTGCTACCATGTACTTGGTGACCTCTGGCCTCTTTCTCCCAGCTTTTCCCTGCAACAGGTACTCACCCAGCCCTGGGCAGTGGGGATGGCGCTGCAGGTGAAGAAGGTAACTTGGACTCCCAGACCCCGCTGTTTCGACCTGCACAAACATATATACAGGTCAGGCCTCAAGCCTTGAATCTGAGGTTGGTGGTCACAGTGAGAGTGGCCTTTCTGACAGGCATAGAAATACATGCACATTGTTGTTGTTGTTGTGTTATCAGTTGAATACATATGGGCAGCTGCACTGAAGCTATTGGAAAAAACAAATGTGATGAAACACTTTTAAGAGGTCAATTTGTAAGCTCAAAACTAAGATATAGAGTAGGGACTCCATTTCAAGTTTTCTAAATGACTTTCTCCTTACCCTCATGGAGCAAGTCCAGAGCCCCTAGTTCGGAGGGCTCAGTGAGAGAGGAAGCAGCCCTGCTGGTGCAACAGTTAAGTGCTTGGTGGCTTAATGAAAAGTTGGTGGTTTGAAGACCGTAGGAGAAAGGTTCCATGGGAGAAAACCTCATGATGTGCTCCAGTCAATATTACAGCCTACAAAACCCCACGGGGCAGCTCTACTTGGTCATATGGGGTTGCCATGAGTGAAAATTGACTCAACAGCACCTGACAACAGCTGATAGGAAGACAAGAGTTCACAACTGCATCTATACACACTGCATAGGTGCCTAGAAACAGAAGCACAAAGCCACCACCCATGATAAAAACACACATAGGCACTGCTCATCCATAACCATGCTTTAAATATATACACCTAATTTCACATCCAAAAGACATTCATTCATTCATCTCTGCATTCTCAGAGCCTTTGCTCATTGCACAAATGGACCAATTAAGTGAAGCATCCAAATCTCATCTTCTGGAGTCATAGAAGGGACTAAGAGAGCCTTGTCCACTGTATCCAACTTCCCCTCCACTTACCTGAAGAGAGAACCCCGATAATCATCATGAGAGAGGAAAATAGGAGAGAACAGGATAGATCTTCATCATAGGGATAGAGAGTAGGTCTGGAGGAGGAGAGGTCAGAGCTAAGCAAGCTCCCCTCAGCATCTCCTGGCTGCCTCCTCCAGGTGGATGCCCACCTGCCTGAACATTATTGCTTAGTGAGACAAAGGAGGCTCTTGACAAAGCTCCTTGTTGAATTAAATTGAACTTAATAAATAATTATTTTTTAAAAAACAACTTATTTTTTAAAAAACCAGTTGCCATTGAGTTGATTCCAACTCATGGTATTGGAGAGCAGAACTGTACTTTGTAAGGGTGTCAAGGCTGTGAACTTTCCAAAGCAGATCCCCAGGCCTTTCTTCCAAGGTTTCTCTGGGTGGTTTGAACTGTCAGCCTTTTGGTTAGTAGTTGAATGCTTAATGGATTTCACCACCCAGGGATACATAAATATTTATTAAGCACCCCTCCTCAGAAGGAAGATTGGGCAATCTACTTCCGTAGTGATACTGCCTCAGAAACTCAAGGAGGGGTTGCTATTAGTTGGCTCCAACTCGATGGCAGTGAGTTTGTTTGTTTGTTTTTTGGGTAAATTTATGTCTACAATTCCTAGTAAGATTTGTGGGGCATAGCATGTAAATATAGATTGGACCTGCTACCCTTAGTATATATTGTTTTAGTTTGCGAGATAAGGCACGTAGAAGTAATGTAAGTCAGAACATAAGTAAGTAAACATTGAAATAATTCAATTGCCATGAATTATTGAGAATTCCTGGTGTGTGTCAAGCACAAGAAGGCACTGTGCTAGGGGTTGTCAAAGAGGTGAAGAAGTAGAGAGAGGCCTCTGCCCTCTCAGAATTTATAATATGGCTGGGGAAGGAAGACATGCACACCCCAAGGCATCTCATCGGATAGAGACAGCTATCCCAAACACAAAAAGGAACAAAAAAGATCTCAAATGGTGTTGAAACAGACACCATAGAGTCTATCCTCATGTACTTTTACTAGGTAGAAGTCCTCAAGCGTTCACTGAGGGCTCACCTACTCTTTTTCTACATAAACTTGAACGTGTAGGGCTGATTTCCATAAACACACAAGCACAAAGCGGCAGCAAGGAGTGGGTTCTAAGCAGCCTTCCTTAGAACCCCAAAGAAATACCAGTGGACTCTTCTATTCACATGTTACTTGACCTCGACATGATTTTTCAAAACATTCTGAAAGAGGGATTACATTTGGAGTTTTTATATTTCGCGTGATAATATGCTGAATGCACAGTGTGAGTCCAGCTGTGTTTAATCAGCTACTGTATCAAACTGATCTAAAACCAAAAACCAAACTCACTGCCATTGAGTTGACTCCAACTCATAGTGACCCCCATTGGGTTTCCAAGGCTATAAATCTTTACAGAGGCAGATTGCCTCATCTTTATTCCACGGAGCTGCTGGTGGGTTCAAACCAACAACCTTTTGGTTAGCAATCAAATGCCTTAACCACTGCATCATTAGAGCTCCTTATCAAGTTGATACTGCCTTTCAAATTATCAGTACTTAAGATTTACACTGTTAAAATGTCCTTGGCTACTCATAGATTTTGGTGGAAGATTTCTGGAAAAGGAAACAAAACCTTGTCTGAGAAAATAAGGAAGTGAAAAGGTCTAAGTCAGAATTTACTCCCCGGGGATTCATTATCTTTGTCAGATCCACTGCCTGGCTTTACTACTAAGCTTTACGTTCTTTCATATCTCTAAACAGTGTTCAACATTTTCCTTTCCTTCTGTCTTACCCATAAATAACTTCTGGAGACCAGAAAAGAGCACCCCAACTCTCCTCTGTGGTGGTGGAATACAAACACTGGTGGGAAATCTGTAGGTCTTGGCATCAGGAAGATAAGGTTCTAGTTAGTTCTCTGCTACCGAACTGACTGGGTGACCTCTTACAAGCCACTTGCCTCAGTGTCCCACTCTGAAATGGGGTCACCAACCCCTACTTACCTAACTCAGTTCTTATTGTGAGAGAATAGGATAACTTTGAAAATTTAAAGAATTAACCACATATAAAGTAAATTGCTGGAAAGGAAATAAAAGTATTTCAGGCTTGAAAACATACTAAGTGAGAGGAGCCAGACACAAAAGACTACATATTGCATGATTCTATCTGCATGTTCAGAAAAGACAAATTTACAGCAATAGAAAGCAGACCAGTGGTTACCTGGGGCTGGGGATGGGAATGACATTGACTGCAAAGGGACTTGAGAAATCTTTTTTGGTGGAGGGAGGGAGTGGACATTTTCCCAAACTGATTGCAGTGATGGTTACACAACTCTACAAATTTATTAAAAATTATTGAATTATACATGTAAATTGTATATGTTACAAGACAAAAAGTCATCTTAGTAAATACTATTATTTTTGCTATTGTTTTACCATCTTACCATCAACTGTCACAGTATATGTAGGTGCTGGGCACTGTGCCAGATAATTTAAATATGCCATCTCTAAGCCTCACATATAACGAAGCAGAGGAAGTTGAAGCTCAGAGATTAAATCACTTGCCCAAAGCAATGCAGCTAGGAAGTGGCAGGGTTCAAAACCAGGGCTATTCAAACAATAGACAGACATTTGAGGTGAACAGTAACACCAGAGAGGTATGCACTCCTTAGAAGAATCAACCATAAGAGATCAAAGGGGGAATATTTGCCCAGGGATAAAGCTCAGAAGGCAGGAATGGATGGGAAAGGACAGTGGGAAATGGTAACCAAAGAGAGGAAGAGAGAAGAGCATTATTACTTTGTGGGGATTGCAATTACTGCCAAAAAGAAAATGTATTTGAACTATTAAATAGGATACCACCATACTCTGTAAACTGTCACCAAAATCACAATAAAAAGTTAACACACACACACACGCACAACAAGGGCTATTTGGGCCTAATGCCCAGGCAGGCCCTTCCTCTCTAGCCAGTACCTCACAATGTTACCATGGGCCATAATTTGGCATGCCAGATTTACTTACTGCATCTCCTTTATGTGGGGAAAAGTGAATGGAACAGTGGTAGTGCTTTTGTGGATGCCTAGCAACAACAACAATGTGAGAGGATGGGGAATGCTGCCTCTGTTTCATAAGCAGGTGTCTCTTCTGGTCTGAAGCACCTCTGGGTTGGTTCAAGCTACCAACATTTTGATTAGTCAAGTGCTTCACAGTTTCTACCACTGAGGGACTCCTAAATATTTATTAAACACCGAATAAATGTTTTAGTCCACAATTTTCAGTAAGATTTGTAGAAGTGCTGGGACTTCAATCCAAGTCTGTCTGGCTCAAAACCAGGGCTTTGAACTGGTTCAAATTGGTCCCATCACAGCTGACAAAGTACAACCGGGATGGATTGGAATTTGCAAAATGTAGCTGCCTGGAATGATAACTGGATATGGAAAAATTAGGGGTTGAATGGAGACTTGGAAGAGGTATAATGAGCCCTTTCAGGAGCCTGATGCAGGAAATTGGATTATTGGTAGGACTGTGGAGACTGACATATTCAAAGCCATATGGTCAGCTACCATTGTTGAGCTCAGCACAGGTGTTTCAGACTCTGTCTCTCAAGAGATTTGGTTGCTATGCAACACACATGCTGCCCTTGTTTTCTAAGAGGGAGGTAACTTTCTAGCAAGGCATTGACTCATAATTCTTCCTGTTCCAGTTATTCTGGGCACTTACATTTTGCACATTCCAGTCTATCCCAGTTTCATTTCATTGGCCATGACCGAACCAGGAAGAACCAGTTCAAATCCCTGCTGAAAACCCTTGCATTTCACCACCACATTATTGTGAAAGAATTGCTGAGAGCTGAGGGCTGAGTTGCGGGAACTCCTTAGTCAGGAGAGGGGAGAATCCTGCCAAGTCCCATGAGGTAGGATGAAAACCAGGACCTTGTCCTCTAACAGAGAGGGTGAAGGTCTCTTCAAGATAGGTGCCACCAGACTGTGGATAAGGATGACAATGAGGACTCCTGTTACCATTTATTAAGAAATTTGGAATTACAAGTGATTGCTTCTTCACGTTCTGAGTTGTTTATCTAATGTGGAATAAGATTAAAATCCAACCCAAAGCACACATATACTTTACCTGAGGCTGTCACTGGAGCAGAGGCTGGCTTTGAAGGGTTACTTGGCTTGGTTGATCTGTTCACCATGGGAGCTTAAGCACACAAATATACATATGGTTACAGATATATCCCACTGAGGGAAATTCACACACAAAAAATGCATTATGAAAATGATGGGTCAGACCAGAGAATTTGCAAAGATTGGGAAACAAAGTTATTAACACATAGCCATTAAAAGCAGACTTCACATTTGAAACATCTTTAGAATGAATGTATTAATGATTAAAAGGACCAATCAATTGTTTTATGACAGAGATTTTGTTAAAGTGAATACTAGCTAAGACGTAAACTACAGGGAGGAAGTGGGAAGAGGATTGTTAAATTGCAGGGATTTCTGTTAATGGCATGAAACCAAATGTGTATGAACTGCTGTATGGAAAGTGAATTTGCTCTGTAAACTTTTACCCAAATCACAAAAAAAATGAAAAAACAGAAAAAGTGAATACTGGCTATAAATTTCATTTGCCAAGCTGGAGGTCTGAGAGTTTTATCAAGAGTTTTGTTTTTTATCAGAAGGAATGTATTGAAACAATAGTGTGGGGATGGGGGTAATGTGGCAAACTAGTAGCTACTCTCCCCTGCCATGCACAACAACATATACACTTTTCTTGAATTTCGTGTTGTGTGTTTTTTTTGAGGGGGTGGGTAAGAAGAAGGAATGTGTATTGTGTATTTGGAAGGAAGACCTGGCAAGCTACTTCCAAGAATGAGCCCATGAAAACCCTACAGATCACAGCAGCCAACCTGCAACTGATCATGGGGATGGTGCGGGACCTACCGCACAGCCTTTCTTTCTCAACTCTGGCAACTATTTCTTTGGGATGGGTGGCTTGGAAGTTCAGCTGGTTCTTGAAACTGTTGATAATATTTAGGGAGTCTAGAGAGGGTTACTACATGACAACAGAGTGAAAGCTGGACACAGCTGCTTCCAAGTTGTTACCTATACAGGATTATTCTCCATTGCTGGAGCTCTGATGGTGCAGTGGCTAAGGCGTCTTATTGCTAAACAAAAGGTCAGATGTTTGAACCCATTAGCTGCTCCATGGGAGAAAGATGAGGCAGTCTGCTTCTGTAAAGATTTACAACCTTGGAAACCCTATGGGGTAGTTCTACTCTGTCTTGTAGGGTTGCTATAAGTGGAATTGTCTTGATGGCAGTGAGTTTGGTTTGGGTTTGGTAGACTCTATCAGAAATTCGTTGTAAGTGAGGGCAGCTGAAGACAAGAACCCAATGCTTTCAAGATTAGAGATGGGAGTATTAACTCATGAAAATAGGAGGAGGAAGAAGAGGAAAGGGTATGAAACAGAGATGAGTCACTCACTGATGCCGTCTGCTTGACGAGCCAAAGAAGGACAAATGCTGTGGTCACACAAGAGAGAGGCCAGACAGTCAATTTCTGAGCCCATTAGTGTTTGTTACCAAATAGTCTTGGATGCCTCGATCAACTGCTAGAAGTTTTCAGGTGTTTAAAACAATAAACACTTGCCTTTTTCAAATGGAAGTGAACTGCTTTCTGTGGGATGAATATAGTTTTCATCTTCATCTTCTACAGGGACCACATAATCAGCCTAAGAGAAATGTAGAAATGAATGAGGGAAATGCTGTATGGGAGAGGGTGCTTTTTAAAAGTCTTTACTGAGATATAATTCATATAGTATCAATTCCCCTGTTGAAAGTATACAATTCATTAGTTTTAAGTATGTTCACAGAGTTGTGGAACCATTACCACAATCTAATTTTAGAAGATTTTCATTTTCCCCCAAAGAAACTGTGTACCCATTAGTCACTTCTCTTCCCAATACTAGCTCTTCTAATCAACAACTAAACTACTTTCCATCTTCCAGATTTGCCTATTCTGGACTTTACATAAAAATGGAATCATATGTTACGTAATCTTTTCTGACTTCTTTCATTTATTATGATGTTTTCAAAGATTACAAATGCAACATGTATCAGAACTTCATTCCTTTTTATGACCAAATAATATTCCATTGTATGGATATACATTTTGTTTACCAGTTCATGTACATTTGGATTGTTTCTATCTTTTGGCTATTGTGCTAAATGCTTCTGTGAGCATCCAAGTGCAGGTCTTTGTGTGAATATATGTTCTAATTTATCTTGTTATACACCTAGGAGTGGAATTGCTGGACGATATAATAACTCTATGTTTAACAATGTTTCAATTTCTCCATATCCTCAACAACACTTGTTATTTTCTGGGTTTTTTGTTTGTTTGTTTGTTTGTCAGTCTAGTGGGTGAGAAGTAGATCTCATTCTAGTTTTGATTTGCATTTCCCTGATAGTTAATGATATTGAGCATCTTTTCAGGTACTTACTGGCAATTTGTAAATCTTCTTTGGAGAAATGTCTATTCAAATCCTTTGTCTATTTCTTAATTGAGTTATCTTTTTATCTGGAGTCTGTGGATGGCATTAATAGTTAAGCAGTAGACTACTGGTCAAAAGGTTGGCAGTTCTAACACACCCAGAGGCACCTCAGGAAAGAGGTTTGACATCTGCTTCTGAAAGGTCGGGCTTGAAAACCCTGTGGGTCAGTTTTACTTTGCACACCAGAGTCAGAATTGAGTTGACGGCTACTACCACCATCACCACCACCACCACCACCATCTTTTTACTATCATTATAAGAATTCTTTATGTAGAGGACTTTTGGTAAGATGGCAGAATAGACAGACAAGCTACACAGAACCTCTTCAATAAAGAAAAGAGAAACCAATTGACAGAGATACAGAAGATAATCCTGGAGCCCTGAGCTTTGAAAGGAAGTATACAGAAATGGATTAGGCATCAACTAGTGGAAAAACCTGAATGAAAACAGTTAGTATGGAGAGAGATGGAGCTGTGGACTGTCAGCTATTCTGATGACACCAACAGCCTGAATATTTCCAAGTGGTGTTGGGACCTGAGAATTGACCTAAAGATCAGCTGTGATCACCAAGGGCTACAGGGACAACTGAGCTGGTGGCCTATGACTAGGAAGGGAAACAGCAGGGAGGGAGACAACTTGAGCTGTGGACTTTCAGCTGTCTGGAGGGTAGAGCCATTTTGATTATTTACAAGCAGCAGCTATTTTGGATATTTAAAGTGACCAAGGGCACTTGAATGTTTAGAAGTGATGGCCATTTTGGATATTTAAAGTGACAGGTATCTCATTCAGATTCCAGGGACTTAAGAATAGGCTCCATTTGCCAAGGATAGCAGGGATATGCAGAAGGCTGACAATGGGAAATGAGATAGATGATGAGTGTATACATTCTTCCAACTAGTGAACAGAGGAGCACAGAACCCCACTTACACAGATAACATCCAAAGAAAATGAAAATCTTGGGAAAGTCACTCCAACATACAATCACCAATTAAATATAAACACAAAAATGTCACAATGTCATGGAGACAACAGACTATCACAGTTGACATAAAGAAGCAAGAGAAACAAGAGAGCAGGATAGAGACCCAAAACACATCCTTGAGGAAGAAGCAGCATTGGAACTCCCTGATAAAGAATTCAAAAGAATTATATTTGGGTACCTTGAAAGACAGATCAAGGAAAACACTGACAAAATTAAGGAAACACGGAGAAAACCCTACAACAATTTCAAAAGACAATACAAGAACAAAATGACAAAATAAATGAAAAATTAGAAATGCTACAAAATCTACAGATAGAAATCCAGAAAATTAATAGTAAATTTTCAGAAATAGATAAAACATTGAACAGGTGAAGGAGTAGAATTGAATCAATGGAAGATAGAACTAGTGAGATTGAAGACAAATACCTCACTAGTTCTTTGGAAAGGGATCAATCAGAAAAAAGATCTAAATACAATGAGGAAAGCCTAAGGATCATGTGGAATACCATCAAAAGGAATAACCTATGTAATTGGAATTCCAGAACAGGAAGAGACAAATAAAACCACAGAGAAAATTGTCAATTTGTTGCAAGAGAATGTCCCTGATATAATGAAAGATGAAAATATATCCATTCAGGAAGTCCAATGAACCCCAAACAGGATAGACCCCAAAAGAAAATCACCAAGACATATCATCATCAAACTCATCAAAACTAAAGACAAAGAAAGAATCCTCAAAGCAGCATGAGAAAAATGAAAAGTTAGCTATAAGGGGCAACCAATAAGACTAAACTTGGATTTCTTGGCAGGAACCATGCAGGCAAGAAAACAATGGGTGGTATATATAAAATCCTGAAAGAAAAAAATTTCCAACCTAGAATTATATATCCAGCAAAATTGTCCCTCAAAGATTATGGTGAAATTAGGACATTTTCAGATAAGCAGAAACTAAGGGAATTTGTTAAGACCAGACCAACCTTACAAGAGATGCTAAAGCGAGTCCTTTGGACAGAGAACCAACAACAGCAAACAACAACTGAGCATTAACACACATGATGACATAACCCAGAAACCAACCCAGTTACGGAAGTTCTTATAAGTACACAATCTTATAAGTCTATAAGATTATAAACAGAGAACCAGAGACATCAATTTACAAGTGAGGACAACTATAAACTAAAAAGAGGGAAAAATAGTGTAGTTACAGAATTTCTAAATGGTAGGGAAATCAAAACAACTGCAAGATAGAACGGATTGTTCTAAACTTGGGAAGAAAACTATAAATCACAGGGTAACCTCAAAGAAAAATGATAAGTATTCACATCAAATAAAAAAGAGGACCAGCACAAATATTTAGCAAACACTAAAACAATAGCTACAAAGGAAGTGATAATACTACTCATAAAGAAAACAAGCTCAGCACAGAAAATTATATGGAACAAAGAAATCAGCAACACCACGAAAAAGCACAAAACAAAATGACAGCAACAAATTAATAATAATTGCACTGCCAAAAGAGTAAAAAGAGAACTTACAGATTGGGAAAAAATATTTGGCAATGACATATCTGACAAGGGACTTATTTCTAAAATTTATAGAAAATTCCAACACCTCAACAACAAAAAGATTAACAATCTGATTAACAAATGGACAGAAGACATGAATAGACACTTCACCAAAGAGGGCATTCAGGCAGCCAGCAAATACATGAAGAAATGCTCACGATCATTAGATATCAAAGAGATGCAAATCAAAACAACAATGAGATACCATTCAACAAGAAATAAAACGACAAATGCTGGCGAGGATGCAGAGAGATTGGGACTCTCATACACTGCTGGTGGGACTGTCAAATGATACAACCACTATGGAAAGCAGTATGGTGATTCCTTAAAAAGCTGGAACTAGAAATACCATTTGACTCACAATCCCATTACTAGGTATATATCCTAAAGAAGTGAGAGCTAGGACAACAACAGATACATGCACACCCATGTTCATCACAGCACTATTTACAATAGCAAAAAGATGGAAACAACCTACAAGCCCATCAGCAAAAGAATGGATAACCAAACTATGGTACATACACACAATGGAATACCATGCAACACAAAAGAATAATGTAGAATCTTCAAAACACCACATAACATGGATGAACTTGGAGGACATTACCCTGAGTGAAATAAGTCAATCACAGAAGGACAAATATGGTATTAGTTCATTATTATAAAAAGTCAAGGAAAGGTTTATATATGAAAGGAAACTTTCTTTGTTGGTTACTAGAGGTGAGAGGGGAGGGAAGGGAACACTGCAAAAAAAAAAAAAAAATGCATTGACCCATGTCACTTTAGTTTTGTGTATTTCACTATACATAAATTGTATTTCAATAAGATGTATATATTAAAAAAAACCTCATTGATACTTGAAATAAGGAAAGTAGATTACTGTGTGTTTTTTTAAGGGTTTTCTGACGTTTTTGGTTGGACCACAATTTACTATTAGAGTAGTACCTAAGACACTTGACTGCTAACCAGAAGGCTGGCGATTCAAACCCACCAGCCACTCTTTGGAAGGAAGGTTGGGCAATCTACTTCCGTAGTGATACTGCCTCAGAAACCCCAAGGAAGGATCGCTATGAGTCAGGTTTGATTCAACGGCACATAACAACAACAACAACAAGACCCAGACTGTAAAGTTATATATTTACTTGTAGAAGATTGGTAAACTACAAATGATTTTTACCTAATTGAATGCCAAGCTATTTTTCTCTATTAAGAGAGATTATTTTTAGTGTTGTAGCACATCAAAAAAAAGAAAAAGAATTCTTCATGTATTCCATATACAAGTACCTTATCACATACATGATTTGCAAATAGTTTCTTCCATTCCATGGGTTGATTTTTTTCACTTTCTTAATAGTATCATTTGTAGCACACAAGTTTTACATTTTGATGAAGTCCATTTTATCCTTTTTTTTTTTTTACTTTCATTGCTATGCTTTTGGTGTTATATCTGAGAAACCATGGCTTAACACAATGTCACAAAGATTTATTTCTGTTTTCTTCTTTATCTTTGTTAGATCAGTTGTAATGTCATCTTATTTTCACTTTCTCATTGCTCCACACTCTATTACTTATCAAGAGTCATTTTGATTAGGTATTGGATGCCAAAATGAGGTTTTTTTTTCCCCTCATTACAACTCATGTGGGCATTTAATAGCTTTACATACATTATTTTATTGAATTCTTACAATAACATTTACCTTCTAAGTCAGGTATATTTATTCTCATTTTACAGATGTGGAATTTGAGAGAGGTAAAGAAATCTGCCCAAGTTCACAAAAGACCACAAGGCTGAAGTCCATAAGGAGAAGTACTGGGTGTGCTTGGAGGACCTCTGACACCCTGGGACCCATGTGGTGCCTGGACCATTTGTGCTGAATGAAGAACTGGTCTCTCTTCAATGGATGTTGGAGAAGTGGCACAAGGTAGCCATTTAGCACCCGGGCTTTGACATCCTACTAACTGGTCTTAAATATCAGCACTACCACTTACCTCTGTGATCTTGAACAACCTCTTGGCCCACTGGTTTCCTCATTTGTAGAATGGGGATGATAATAGTCCACATTTCATAGAGTTGATATGTGTATTTAATGAGACAATACAAAGTGCTCAGAATACCAACTGAGACACCAAACCAAAGCCAACCCACTGCCATCGAGCCAATTCTGACTCATAGGGCTTCCCATCGGGTTTTGAAGGTTGTAAATCTTTACGGAAGTAGATTGCCTCATCTTCCTTTTGGAGAGAAGCTGGTGGGTTTGAACTGCTGATCTTCTGGTTAACAACCAAATGCCTTACGCACTATGCCCCCTTACCCACTCTATGCCCCCTTACCCACCATGCCCTTAGCTGAGACAGAGCACTCATCAGATGTTAGCCATGCTCATCATCACAGCACAGATGTTTCTTCCTCCTGGACATCTCCCCACCTGGCAACTTCCTGATATTTGACCTTGATATTTCATCTGTGTCCCACAGGATGACTAAACACTTCTATTTATGTTTGTACTTAAGTTTCTCCTTTCCCATCTAATCATTCAGTCATATCTTAATGTTGGCTTTAAACACACACACACACACACACACACAAACCCTCTTTCTTATCTCTACTTTCTATCTGCCCAGTCCAGCATACAGCCTTCTCTAACTTTTCCTTTTCCCTCTGGTTCAGACTCTGCTGAGCCACTGAGCCACCTTCACAAGGCTCCTATAGCAAACCTCTCACTGAAGACCATCCTCAGTAATTCTCAGAAATGGAGAGCCTTGCACAACCACAGTATTTCTTTGTATTCCTATCTGAATTTTGATCTTGGTATGGATTTGCCGAATTTTGAGAATTCACAGTGAGATCCTGATGTCTGGTCTGTCTGCCCTGTCCTCTGTCCACTGTCAGCTTCTCCTGCCACCCTAATCCCACCCTGAAAGCACAGCATCACCTCTCAGACTGACAAGCCACTTCTCCTTCTAAGTCTGCCGACTTTGAGCAGGGGTCGGAAACTACAATGGGCGGAAAGCAGGCTGGTACAGGGTGTGTGCGTGAGTTGCGTCCATGATGCGGACTACGGCAGAAAGGAAAAAGGTCAGGAATTCACAGCTGAGTTGGAGTGGAGGGTTGCCATGAGGCTCAGTTGTTTTGAGGCCACAACTGGCTCAATAGGTCTTCAGTTTCCAGGAGAAACTAGAAATTAAGATTGTTTAAAAGAAGAAAAGAAAAGAAAAGAATTTAGAATATACTAGAAAGAAAGAAGACCCTTCTATGTATCAGGCACTGAATTTAGTACTGTATATATGTTCTCTAAGGAGCTCTGGTGGTGCAGTGCCTAAAGCATTTGACTGCTAATCAGAAGGCTGGTGGTTCAAACCCACCAGCCGCTCTGTGGAAGTCTGGGCAATCTACTGCTGTAAAGATTTACCACCTTGGAAACCCAAAGGCCATCACTATGAGTCAGAATTGACTTGATGGCAGTGAGTTTGGGTTTGGTATATGTTGTCTTATTTAATATTCAAGGAGCTCTGGTAGCACAGTGCCTAAAGGATTTGACTTCTAACCAGGAGGTTGGTGGTTCAAACCCACCAGCCATTCTGCGGAAGGAAGAAGGGGCAATCTACTTCCGTAAAGATTTATAGCCTTAGAAATCCAAAGGGGGTCGCTGTGAGCTGGACTCAACTCGATGGCAGTAGGTTTGCTTTTGGTTTATTTAATCTTCTGGGGGATCCTTTGGGACAGATTTAATTTACCTCATCCTCAAGGAGGTCTTTGGGCTTGGGTGGTACTTGAGGTTTCTGAAGAGATGTGGAGGATGGCAGGGTGGAGGAGAGCCTTGCCTTAGATGAAGGCCAGCTGGGCTTACTGGGAATTGTCTTGCTAATGGGTGGAGAGTGCCTCTGGCTTGAGCGATTGTCTGGAAAGGAAAAAAAAAAAAAAACAATCATAAGACAAATGAGGCTGTGGATCATCCCCTGGGTAGGAGCCATCAGAGATCTAGAAAATATAAAACCAGCATCTCTGTATCCAAAAGTTATTAGTTGTCAATTATAGTAAACTAAAATGTTAGTTAAATATTTCAACTGTCCATTGACTTACATTATAAAAATAATGCTTCTCTTCAAACCACCTGCCAGGGGAATGAGGAGCCTCACTGACTGAGGAAGGCTGACAGTCCTGCACCCTAACAAATGGAGTAGACAGATATTAAGGATGTGGATGCCTAAGGGGTTCGGAGCGTGAGTGGCACAGGCAGTTTGCAATCGGCCGCTACCTAAAGGTTGGTGATTTGAACCCACCCAGTGGCATCATGAAAGAAAAGCCTGGCAAACCACTTCTGTAGAGATTTCAGCCAAGAAAACCGCACGGAGCCCAGTTCTGCTCTGTTAACACATGGGGTGGCCCATGAGTTGGGGGCTTACTCCAACATGTTTGAGGGCTCCTCCTGCTTCACTTTGCTCTATGAACCCTTCAGGGCAGTGGTTCTCATTCTGTTTATGCATTAAAACCACCTGGTGAGGTTTTTTAAAAAATATTTTTTTTAATGCTGAGATCTGGGCCCCACCCCAAGTCTATTAAGTCTGAGCTTCAGAGAGAGGCTTGGTGTTAATAGATTTAAGATGATCCCCCAGGTTATTCTAACGTGTGTCCAGATTACTAGTCTGGGTCAACCTGCGTGTTCTTTCCTCAATGATTGCCCTCCAACCAAGGAGAATCCATGAACTCTCCCCTGGTCCAGGATGTTTTTTTCAACAGCTGTCAGTGAAAAGAGCCCAGGTTTTGAAGTCGTGTGGATCTGAAGTTCAATACCCCTCTCTGCCATTCAATGCCTGTGTTAAATTTGGGCTAGTTCTTCAACTTCCGTGAAGCTCACATTTCTCATTTTACAAATGAGAAGGATAATATTCATTTTAGAGAATTATTGTGGGGATTAGGAAGAAAGCAGTATGTCCAGGGTGTCAGGCAAAGAACCAAGGTCTAATCAATGGAACTAATGGTGGCACAGTGGTTAAGCATTTGGCTGCTAACTGAAAGGTTGGTGGTTCAAATCCATCAGCTGTTCTGAGGGAGAAAGATATGGCAATTTGCTTCCGTAAGGATTACAGCCTTGGGAACCCCATAAAGCGTTCTACTCTGTCCCTCAGGTTTGCTATGAGTTGGAATCAAGTCAATGGCAATGTGCTTTTGTTGTTAATATGATAGAGACTTTAGGCAACATCTAGTCTACCTAGTTGATCCTGTGGGAATCAGTTCAAACTAATACATTTTAGGAAAATCCTAGTATAGGAATGACCTGGTATTGACATTCCCTGTCCTGGGAAAAGAGCAGCATAAGAGCTTACACTGGCCTGCATTACACCATTGGCTTCCTGCTGCCCTCCTGTGACTGTCAACCCCTAGTTTGATGCAGTTATCCTGGTTGTCATGCTACCACATCTCTGCTGTCCTCCTGACACTTGCTTCTCCGGCCTCTGGCCCTCGCTTCTGCCTTGCTGAAGAGGTATGATTGACTTCACTTTGATGTCTCCATGGAGGACTTTTCTGGACGGTGTGGCTGATGCTCCCCCTCTAGGACCTTCCATTGGCTGTACCTGTAACTCTGTCAGTTTTGTAGTTTTATTTGCAGCTCTTGGACTTTACTTACATTTCTTAATGTGATAGTTCAGCCCTTAGAAATGACAAAGCAGACAGGCTTTGAAGAGTGTGCCCTTGGACAAGCTACATAACCCCTTAACTGCCACTGAGTTTCAGTTTCCTGGTCTGTAAAATGGGCCAGCACAGCCCCTTCCATCCCAGGGAGTTGTGATGATTGAAAAAAACACTTAACAAATACAGTGTGTGTGGAGCAGAGTGGTGAAGGCTTCGGAGGCTGACAGGGCTGGCACGCATCTCAGCTTGGCCACTTATAAAGCCTTGGCTCATTTAGTTCAGCCCTCTGAGCCTCACTCTCTTGCTTTGTAAAGTGGGATGAATAACATTATCTAGAGGGTGAAGTAGACCATGACTGAAAGCACTAAATTTCAAGCTAAAAAAGCCTGAGAGAGTGTTTGTCTTGCATGTTGTCAATGTTCAGTGCTGACACATAGTAGGTGTTCAACAGATTAACTGGAGGACGAAGCAATGAGTAGTGCTTGGTGTGCTGTAAGGAGGCAGTTACAGTGGCACAGAAGCCTTTCCTTGTGGGAAAGCTCTGTACAGGTGTTAGCATCACTATTATCACCATGGACATGCTTGCTCAACTCCTTGCATTTGCTGAAGTTGAGAAGATTGGAACACAGACTTCTTGACTGGCCTTAAAAGCCATACTCGGTCCTTGAGGTCAGGCCAAGCCATGACTGTTTAAAAGAGGCTCATTTGAGGCTTAGAGCTCTCCCTCAACTGCCTGTGCCCACCCAGTTAAAAATCCACAGCCTAGACTCTCAGTTTGCAGGTGGCTAGCCAGAGTGAGGTGGGCTGTCTGGAGAGTGTGAGAGCAGGGAGTGGCGTTAGCGGACCCTGGGACTTTGAAGGTTATTGTTTATCTGTATGAACTTCTTAAGAGAAATTCTAGGCATTTTGTGCACAGGGAGCTCTAAGAGAAGTGAGCACTAATCTCAGGGTAGATTTCCCACGGGGTAATTAGGAGTCGGGAGAAGCAACCATCAAGGTGTGCTTGTTTTATTTTTCACTGGTTTTCAATAATCCAGATTTAGGAGGACACTTCTTCCCCTCAGACTGAAAAGCTTTGCACCTTGGGCTCCATTACCCATGAGTGACTTGATAACCTGCTTGGAGGTGGCGAGAGCGGGAGGCAGGTGGGCAGAGGGTCTTCATGCAGCAACCGGTTTTGCTCTCACCCTCTGACCTGAGCCTGCTTCCATCCTCCCCATGGCCTGGCAGGCACAGCATCAAGGGTCTGTGGGGCAGTCTCACCTATATATTCTCCCCTGGTGAAGGGCAGGGCTGGGTGGACGGTCCTCATCTCCTGCTCAGCTGGAGGTGGCTCGTAACTGTCATCCCCGTTCTCCTCAGCGGGTACCAAGTACATCTCTGAGTCGGAGTGCTCGTCTGGGTTTTCATAATCATTGTCCTAGAAACGCAGAGACCATGCTCAGTGTTCCTCATGTGTGCTTAGTCCAGGATAATTCCTGCCCTAGGGGGCAAAGCTGTTCCCCTAGTGTATGGAGGAGGAGACCAAGGCTTGGAGAGGCTGATTGAAGACCAGGCACTTCTTAAGAGGCAAAGCTGGGACTTGAAATCAGACCTTTCTGACTCCAAAGTTAATCACTTTGACTATAGTGCCATCCTGGGAGAACATGTGGACTATTTGACTCTTAGGGTGACTGAAACAAACAGTATGTCAACAAAGAACAGTAAAGATAGTAAATATAGTATACTGTATTTTTAAAAGACAGGAAAAGGACTCAATAAAATAGAGTTACAGTAGAGTCACAGAGGTTTTACTTCTCATGAATGCTGATGGCTGAAGGAAAAGTAGGTCTCATGGGAGAGGGTAAGGGGATGCACAGAGACCCCACTGAAGCCTTTGTAAAGATGAGATTTTTAAAACAATAGCTAGTAAGCCAAGGGTTGGGGTTCAAATGGACTCAGAGTCCATTCTTTCTTTCTTTTTTTAAAAATATAAATTTTATTTAAATCTTATTGGAAATACATTGACACGGTCCCAAACTCAAACATTTCAGAAGGACCTAAGATGAAGGCTCCCTCCCAACCCCTGAGCACCTCTCCCCAGAGGCAAACAATGTTACTAACTTCATGTGCATTTTTTCAGAGATTTTATACATATCCTTTTAATAGATAATGTGGAGGAAATATTTGATTCCTGGCATAAGCGGTTCTCTGACCTCTGTGCCTGCTCTGCCACACACAGCATGATGCATGATAATCAATACATTATCAATACATAACTATCCAATGAATGGGTGATGCACCGGCTTTTTGGTCTCTCTTCTTTCACTTTGCACGTTAGAACACTGATGCAGGTATAGTGTGATAATTGTTTCATTTACTGGTGTATTCTCAGGGCCTAAAACAAGATGAGCACTCAATATGTTTGAAATGAAAGAATACATGAATGAATGGATGAGGACTGTTCTCTTCTTAGTCAGTAGAGAGACAGAATGAAGGGATGGAATAAGGAAAAGTGAAAGGAGGAAGAGGTGGCTGGAGGAGGGCTGGAAGAATAACGGGAGGACAGAAGGGTTGCTGAGTAACAAAGGGAGGAAAAATGGGACATGCTTTGGTTTCTCCTCTTTTCCCTTCTCTATCCTCTTCTTTCCCAATGACCATGAGTCTGAAATCCCTAAGGCAGGCAGGACCTTGGCCTATTCTGGGAGCAGAGAGGTGACAGCGTGCTGGGGTGTGTACATGGAAGACTGTGCTGGTCCACAGGGACTGGACTTTGTCAGGCCTGGAGGCTTTGGGGACAAGCCTGGGTGTTATTCTACATGCACTGGAAAGCCAATGATGTACAAATAATTGAGAGTTGATGTTTACTTAATCCTTAATACAGCTGATATCTTAATTTTGGTTGTTTGACTTTGGGGCAAGTCATTTTCTCCCTCTCCAGGGCAATTTTGCTTTGTGCTCCCAATGTCTTCTAAGGCCTGACCAGGTCTTTTTTTCTAATCCAGTTGGTAAGCTCACTTTTCTAAGCTTTCCTCTGGTTGTGGACCAGTTTCTTTCCATTTCTTCAGATGTGGCTCAGGCGTGTGCCGCCAGCAGGGGGTGCAACTGCAACGTTAATAGGGCTCTTTAGCCTAGCGGTCGCGGGGCCATGGGAGGAGCTGTATAGCCAAGCAACTAGGGAGAGGCCACCCCTTCCCTGAAGGTGAAAAGGAGGAACACTCCTTATCCTTTGAATAAACTCCAGCAGGTGTACAGGGCCAGGCCACTGAGCTGGGCTCAGGCTCAATGCTGGGCATTGTTCTCATCCCCCTGGGGAACTGAGAGAAGGTGGACGAGTCATTCTCACCCTCTTGGCTTCAGTTTCCCTAGTTGTGAAATAGGGTGTGTGGAGGCCTTCTTCTAAATATACAATTCACAGATTGGAGCAGGCCAGTATTCCAGATGGATTTGATGAAAGCAAAGAACAATTATTGTGAACAAAAGTTTTTAGGATGTCAAATTCACTGCAAGTTTCCCCAGCCAGGGTCCAATTCCATCAGGTCTGGCGGCTTTAGTAACAAGCCTATGCAATGAGAAGACATTATTGTGAAGAAAAGTTTTTAGGATGTTTTGTCCCTAAAAGACGTACCCTAGAAGAGACATGGTCACAGCACACCCCTTCAGGTTCCTCTGGGTTGCAGAGCTACCTCACAGAGATGGACAATTCTGAACTTGCCCATGTCATCATGTTTAGGTCCCACTGCCTGGCCCAGTGGTCCTGGGAGCTTTGCTGATGTCCTCTCGGTCACAGCAAGCACCTTGTTGACTAAGAGCATGGTTCTGAGGTCTGAGGGGTCTTGGTTTGAATTTTAGAACTGCAAGTTTTTTTAAAGTCTTCATGCCTTTTTCTTTTTAAATCTGTAATATGGACAAAGCTGTTATTCAAAATGTTTCACAGTTAACATGGCACAGGTACTGATGGTGCATCTCCTGATGCTGCCATGGTTGAGTGGTTGGCTGCCAACCCAGGGGCACCTCAGAAGAAAGGCTTGATGGTCTACATCTGAACAGACCCAGCCTCTGAAAACCCTATGGAGCACAGTTCTACTCTGAAACACATGGGGTCACCGTGAATTACAGTCAACTCTGTGGTAGCTGGCTATTGTTGTTACTGTGGTCTTTACTGACTGTGGCAGTAGAGAAGGCACTCTCGTGGTGTAGTGGTTAAGGCATTTGGCTGCTGACCAAAAAGTTCGGTGGTTCAAACCCACTAGCCACCACACGGAAGAAAGATGCGGCCGTCTGCTTCCATAAAGATTTATAGCCTCAGAAAACCCATGGGGGTCACTATGAGTCAGAATCAATTCAATGGTAGTGAGTGACTGGCAGTAAAGAGAGTCCTGGAGTTCCCCCCATTAACTCTTTAGTTGTTGGTTTGTTTAGGGATCCTGGGCAGGGGCCCTGGTGGTGTGGCACTGAAGAGTTCAGGGCAGAGACCACTTACCAATTGATATGGAAATATTTTAGCATCTTCACATCTGTGTTGGCTGGGCTGGTGAGTATATTGAATATCAGCATTGAAAATGGGCATAAGAATACCTACTTCATAGGGCTGGGCCGTGGTGAAGATTCAATGAAGTAAAGCACATAAGGCTTTTAGCCAAACACCCGGCCCCTTGCGAGTAAGGCTTTTAGCCAAACACCCGGCCCCTCGCGAGTCGCTGGGCCAAGTCTGGTTTATGAAGGTTATTGCTGCCTTGTTTGTAGGTAGCCTTCCCAGCTCCACCCTCTCCCCTCTGGGATGTGCAGCTGACTAGTAGCATGTAATTCAGAAACGAGCCACTAGCTGGTGGGAACGGTACCTTCTTGGTCTCAGGAGCAAATACTTACAAAGTCATCTGACCACTGCTCTTCTTCGTCAGCAGCACTGCCTGGAACGGTGGATGGGAAGAGAGAACACACAGCGTGAACCTCAGCGGCCAGCTCCACCTGTCCACAAACACCTCCCTTTCCTTCAGACTTCTTGGGCCCATTTACTTGTCTTTGGACAGTTATTATGGTCATCTCATATTCATTCAATTATGGCTGTCTCTCTCTCTCTTTTCATAAATTAATTCTCAAAACATAAAGAAAAGTCCCACTGGGGGGGAACAGTGATGCATCTCATCCATGTCTATCTTTGTCAAGGGACATTTCTGGGACCTTTTATAATCCAGTAGGGATCTGCAATTCATACTCTGTTGCTTCTAAGAAGTTTTGGAATCAAATTCAAATGGTACAGTAGGATGAATATTGAACAGAGGGTCATTTATGTCCAAATTTTCATCTAGTCTCTGTTCCTAACTATTTGGGGAATGTCAGTAAGACTCCTAACATCCCTAACATCCCTGGGCCTCAGTTTCCAAATTTATAAAATGAAGGGAGAACACCAGTGATTTCCTCTGGCCCTAGTTTTTTTTTTAATTAAATTTTTTTTTTTTTTTAATTTTTTCAACGTCTATGCCAGGCAGTGTTATCAGAGCTTTGCACCTATTACTTCTTTTGTTGTAAGTAATGACTCGACAGCTCTGACTTATAGCGACCCCATTTACAGCAGATCAAAACTCTGTCCGCTCCTATTAACTCATTTGGCTTTATCAAAAACCTTGTGAGGAAACTGAGGCATAATGAAGATAAGTCATTTGCCCAAAGTCAGATAGTAAATGGCAGAGGTAGGATTTGAACCCTGACAGCTGACTCCAAAGCTCATGCTCTGAACCCCAATGCCATGTCACCTCATAGTCTATGAGATACAGGGTGCAGACACTGTCCTAGGCTCTGCAGGGGAGATGACAATGAATATGACAAATCTCAGCCCTTATATAACCTCTTATTTTGAAGAATGGGTAAGTGAAGGAATGAATAATAAAAGATATGAATAAATAAAGCTTAAGATCTTAAATAATAAATATTTAACAACTAATATGGCACAGGTACTGACAGTGGAGTCCCTGGGCAGTGCAATGGTTGTCATAATTCGTATGATAGCCAAGCAGCATATTTGACCCTTTCTCAAGGAGGAGTTGCTATGAATTGGATCCAACTTGATGGCAATGGATCCAAAATACATGTAGGGTATGAGAAGCTAAGCATATATTCCAACAAAGAAACTGAGCTTAGAGGTTAAATGCTGTTCACTCTGCTACATAGGAGGAGATCAACTAGACACAGCCCACATGGCAGGGTGGCACCAACAACACCTCCATTGAGGGTCCCAGGCCCCTTCCACCCCATTGAGCAGCCACTACGACAGAGGGCCTGGTGAATAGTCTCTGAATCCTCCAGAACCTCTGCAGAACCTTTGCTGTCAATTTCTACCCCTTGGCGCAGCGGACTGCTGACTTCAGTTCCATGTGGGTTCCATAGAGACACTAGCAAAGGAATCAGGGAGGTGAAATAGGGACAGGAAGGAGACCTTTGGATCAGGCAAGCCATGTTTTAGGCAACAGCAAAAGCATGCCTTAGAAAATAATTCTTACTAAATTTATCTGGATTAGCTTATACCAAATTATAGTTTACTGCCATCACTGGAGTTTGCCAAGAAACTCTAGAAGAATGGGTGAATAAATCCTCTGCTAATATCATGATATCTCTTACCACGATAAGAGGGGCACAGTGGGAGAATGACAAGTTTCCACCTTAAGTTTGGGAAGAATTAAATACTTAAGACAGCAAGCAGTTTATGTTTCATTGTAAACAGAAACCACTTAAAATAGAAACGTATATAAAATTGTGTCTTTCTGTATGGAAAGGCAAGGCCTGCTTAATTTATCTGTGTAACTGGACACGTATCCCTCCCTGCCTTCTAAAAAACAAAAACTCATTGCCATCAATTCGATTCCAAGTCATAGTGACTCTATAGCCTTGGTAACCTGTATTTCCTTAACCTTTTCTCAACAGTCAGAATCTACTTTATGATCAGTTATGGGTCAAAGTCGTTCCAGAAGCCAACCAGTTCCCAGTCTCCATTATCTCTCTTTTCCAATTCTTCCTTCTTACTGATTCTAATTATTTCCTTGAAATAAAGATGGGATCATGTTGTTCCTTTCCTCAGGACCATCAGTGACTACTTAAAGTCCAGATTCTGTGTCAGGACTTCAAACACTCTCTTTTCCTGTCCCTCATTGACTTCTTCAGTCTCTTCTCTTGCTGCAATCTTCAGTGTTCACTTCCAGTAATCCTGGATAGTTGATCCTCCCACAATGCACTTTAAAAAAATTTGCTTTAACTTTCGTTGAGAATATACTCAGCAGAAATACAGCAATTCAACTTTCCCCGTGTACAATTCAGTGACACTGATGACGTTCTTCCAGTTGTGCAGCCATCCCCACCCTTCTTCTCAGAGTTGTTCCTTTCCCGTTAACATAACCTCACGGCCTCCTAAGTTTCCTGTCTAATCTTTTGAGTTGCTTTTGTTCATTTGATCCCATACAGACAGATCTTCAAAAAGCACAGTGCACAAGGCAGGCATTCTTTACCAGTGAAGCTAAACTGTTGCTTGCTTTCAAGAAGACTTCAGGGAATATTTTTGATTGACAGTTTAAAGATTATCTCAGGGCAACAGTTTTTGGGGGTTAATATAGCCTCCATGGCTCCAGAAAATTTAGATTCCATGAGAATTTAAAGTTCTCTTCTGCATTTTACACCTTTTGATCAGGATTCTTCTATAGAATATTTGGCCGAAATGTTCAGTAATGGTGGCTGGGCAACATCTAGTTCTGGTCTCATGGCAAAAGAGGCAGTGTGCATCAAGCGTTTTTTGATAGTTCTCTGCTTTGTTCATTCTCTCCCTTCCTCCTTCCATGGAATCCTTTTATCCTTTGAGGTCCCATTCAAAGGCTTCTTCCTCCATGGAGTCTCCCAGTCTCTCTGGTCATAACTAATCACCCTTTCCTCAGGCCTTCTTTGATGTGGCTGGCACCTATCTGTTGCATGTACTTCGTTCTGCATTGTGCTATGATTAAATGCTGTGTGTCTTTCTGTACTAAAAAACAAGGCCTTTTAAATTTATCTGTGAATCTGGGCAGTATTTTGCATTTGTAAAACATGCACTAATACAAGTATGAACTAATAAATGAGTTGAATGAATGAAAATTGGGATAATGATAGATTCCATTTGTTGAGCACTTATTATATGCTGAATCATAGGCTAAGTGTTTTACATGTATTTTTTAATTTAGCCTCACAACAGAGCTGTATGGTAGATGCTATTATCATTTCTATTTTATATCTGAGGAACCAGGGCCAAGAGAGGTTGCATAAACTGTCTGAAGCTACATGTCTAGTGAGTGCTGGATGGGAGCCCAGAACTGGAGCCCAGGCTGTCTGAGTTGGCTCTTGCACCTGAAATGCCATAGAAACACCCTGCTCCTTGCTGAGCATTCAGATAAAACCTACGAGAGATGAGAATGACCCAATTCAGGCCTCTTGGGAGATGGAGTCATAAAAGGGAGAAAAGCCTCCTGCTGTGTAGAGATTATTATTATTGATTTGGTGGTACTCCATCCACCCCTAGCTACTTCCGTTTTCTGGTCCTAAGGGTAACTTTTGGTGTCCTCATGAAATCACAACCTTGCAGGCAGAGCCCAAGACTGAAAAGCCTGACAGATCAGAGTATTAAATCCAAGCAGTGGCCGGTTTACTAATATTTTACGGAGTCTCCAAAATTGTGTGGGTGGTGTTTTCTTTTTTTCCTCCTGGATTCAGACAGGCTCAATAGAGACACATTTATTAAGCCTTGGACAGGACAAAGACAATCATCCAGGATGCAGGAAACCATCAGCATGAGAAAGCTGAATGGAGTCCCAGGGTAGTGGTTTTAGAACGAGACTTTGTGGGGTCAAATCTTAGCTCTGTTCTTTACTAGCTTCTTGGCCTTGGACCAGTAATTTCGTATCTTTTAAAGCTTGATTTACTTTTTCTGTAAAACAAGAATAAGAATAGTGCCTACCTCATATATATATATATATTTTTTTTTTGACAATCAAGTAATATAATACATATGATACATGTGATGTACTTAGCAGAGCCTGAAACACAATAAGTGCTATGTAAATGCTAGTTATTGTTGTCTTGGTATTGTCTCAATAAACCCTCAAAGCAACATACTAATTCACCTAAATACCAATCACTCAGTATGGCTATCACAAAGAAATGGATCCAAGAAAGACATTAGTATACTGGATAAATTTGAGGGAGGGCAAGTTCAAGTTTAATATGGGCCAGGTGGTCTAAGTTTGTGTGTGTGGTTACACAGTCCTTCAAGGAAGCTGAGATTCTGGTTTGGCCTTCTTGTCAGGTAAAATCTTTCTTATTTTGTTGTTTATCTGGTTTGGGGCTTATGGTTCATATACTGTGTCTTAATCTCTTGACTGGCCCAGGCATTTCAATTAGCATGGCCCTCCCAGGCATGTGGGCACAGCACCAGGAGCTGTGAACACATGAGAATGGCCGCAACAGCACCTTTCAGTGCGTGCTCTAGGCCTGGGGTTAGACAGCCTAACTTGAAATTCTGATTCTGCCATTTGCTAGCAGTATTACCTTAGCCAAATTGCTTAGTCTCTGGGCCTCAGTTTCCTCATCTGTAAAATGACCATGATATATAGTATCTATGAAAAGATTTAGGGGAAAGAATGAAGATGAAGGAGGGATCCTCCAGCCATCAGCCAAGGCTGGAGCTCAGGTAAGGCAGGGGTTCATGTGCCATGAGCAGGACTTAGCTGATGGATGGAAGGGGGCATCCATAAGGAAGAGGCAGATGTGCACAGAATGAATGAGCTACACTGGAGAGTAACAGGAGACTGCCAAATAGTGAAACAAAGCTACATTCTTTACCAGCCAAGGGGATCTCCAGGCATACTGGACAATGTAGTTTCTAGTGACATGTGTGAAA